AAACATAATAGGGACTCAGTCTGGATACCCCCTAAACTGGAGGACCAAAAGTGGACCTTCCCCTTAAAAAATAATCAAACCTTTTTATATATACTAGTACGAATTCCGTGCGATGCACGGGTAAGAGATATTCATTAATATTTATAAATTAAGATATTTATCATTTAAAAATATGAAATTAATATGTAATATAATTTACCTATATTAATTTATTGAAAATGTTATATGAAAATTAAATTGTGTAAAATTACATAAAAATGTCTACTTAAAATTGATACACAATAAATTACATTATATTTATTTCAAAATAAGTGTCATTTTAAATTTTTTATTAAGAAATTCGATTGGACTACAATGTGATTACATAAAATAAATATTTTGATAAAATTTCATCATATATTTAAAAATTTATGTGAATAATAAGTAGTATTATAAAATTTATGTAGTCTTATTGGTTAAAATGAATTTATTTTCATATAAACTATCCAAATCAAACAGTTTAAGCGTTTGAATAATTTATTAAACTATAAATGGTTATTATTTCATTTACAATCAAGTTAATATTGACCCGTAAGTTATGAATAATTATTTATTTGAATTTTAAATTTGAAACTCAAATCTGGACTACAGAATAAATTATCTTATATATTTCACACACACACACACACACACACACACACACACACATATATATATATATATATATATATAGGAAAATGCTACATGTACATAATAAATGAACATAGATGTGTACATAACACTCACATGGAGTGCTTGATTTTTTATTTTTGGTAGGTCCCACTCAATGTAAGTGTGATGTACACCCCTATGTACAATATTATGTACCTATAGCATTTATCATATATATGTATATATATTATCTTGCAATTTTCAAGATTTGTTGTCGGTTACCTCATCGTTCGAATTGATCAACTAATTATCTAGAATTAAATTACAAACTTAAATTTTATTAATCATTCAAAGATCTTTCTGATCAAGAGGAATACATACCAACTTTTCAAATTATCATCAGTATTTCATGACAAGTTATAATGAGAATATGCTAACAATTATGAATTATATCGCCTTAATTTTATAAAAATCACATTTGACTTTCATACACATATCAAATAAAATTCATACTTTTTATTTTGTTTTCAAAATTTCAAAATACACTTCTGTCCATACTGATATAGGATATTATATCATAGACAAGTCTTAATGGATAAAAAGGGGATATATTGAAGAATAAGCCTACACATGGCTAGGACACGTGGCATGATGCTATTGGACATGCCCAACTTGGGCCATAAGGTACATTCCCCCTATAAAAGGGGGCTAAGGTATCTCATTCTCACACTCTCTCTACATTCATAATTATACTTTTGGGATTTGGAGTCTTGGAGTGATTCTGACTTGAGCGTCGGAGGCCCGACGCCGGGACCCCTCCCGACGTTGGGTTCTGGCAGGTCCGGTGGCCGTCCGAGTTGAAGGAGCCCGAGTGAAATCTTGTTCACTTCACATACCAAATAAAATTCATATCATTTAAATTCGGATATTTCGTACCAAGATAAAATCGTCCACTTTATACCATAAAATCGGGCATCTATTATTAAATTTTCAAAATTCTTTATCTTTTTTTTTACATTTTTTTTTTGTTATATTACATAAACACATATTATGAGTAGGACAAAATGAGTAAGTAATTGGACCAGCCCTATCATTTTTGTAATAAAAACAGATGGGTCAGATTAAAACAATATATGTTGCCAATAAGAGCCCATTTAAGATCCCAACCCAACATCACAATTGAAGCCCGAATGCTGTAGCCAGTTGTGATAAATATCTAATTATGACATGATCAAACGGTGCACATTCGACACACATAATCCGATGGCTAAAAAGTTCTCTTTACTTTATATAAAAGCCCATCCAAGCAATGGTTAAACATATTTCCCATCAGATCACGCCTCTAGCTCTTGCCTTCTCCAATATAATTCATAAAATACAAAAGAAAAAAAAAATCGGATTAAAGTACAATTTCCAGATTCAGTTAGCTCAATTAAAAAATGCTTAGAGGTCGGCATATGTAAGAAAAGGCCGAGTCATGAGGTTTACAAACAACACGATCGAAATTATTTACGAAGCATATGCTTTTACTTTGGATCTTGAAGAATAAACCACAGATCAGTTGTGTGCGCCACTAATTTCGATGGTTTGTCAATTATCTATATATATTTTTTTGATTTTGGTTCAAATTTTACAAAATCAAAGGCATAATGTGTTCTTAAAATAGTTAGTTGGGATCTTCTAGGGTCAGGTACCCCTCGTACGTGTATAACATCAGATACCCCCCTTATTAACCATTAGATTTATTCAAGATTGAATATAAACCACATATTTAATGTACGATTTGCCTCGTACATGAATTGCCTCGTACATGACTCGTACACTTCGTGCATGGCAAAAAACCTATAATACCCTTATGTCATTAAATATTAAAATAACTTATAAAATGATAATTATATTTATTTTAAAGACCTTACATTTGTATTATTTGTATAACAATCCTTCAAACACAAAAATATATATCATCACAACCTTAATTAATCTCCCAAAAATCAACATCCACATCAATATCTCTTCCTTCCTCCAAACCTTGAGTCGGGCCCAATCCCAAACCCCTCCCACACCCGCTGCCCCGTCGCCGGCCTCCGACGCCTGCGTCGGATTATTCCTCTATTACTCCTACGAAAGCAGAAGGATCCTCTCGCCGATTCAGCCCTCGGATCCACCTACGTCTGCTCCACCTCCGACGATCGCCCGATTGAAGCATCTCGATAGATTTCCCGATTGCAACATCTCGCCCGATTTCCCGATTGCAGCATCTCGCCCGATTTCATAGGTAAAAATTCTTTTGGTTCTTTTTACAGGATAAAATCAGGGTTCTTTTTTAGTTTTGTGATTTTGGGAATTACGTTTGTGAATTAGGCTAGGCTTGGTTACTTGACAACTCCTAAAGATGAGCTCTTGCAGCAGTTATGAGGGTTTGACATCATCAAATTCCTACCCTTTTGGCACGCATTTTTCTTACAGGTTTATTTTTTCTCACTCACACTCTCTGATTCTTTATTCAATAATGTATCATATTTGGTCTAATATATATACGGTTCAAAAAGATTAGACCTTTTTTAACAATGCAGAATCATATTTTTCATGGGCTTTGTTTTTTAAGTTGGTGCCTGAGACATTTTCTTGTTTTCTAGAGTTTTAATGGCATAAATTTATTTGCAGCTAATAATTGTAATAATAACAATACATGATTGTCCATTTTCCTATTAGAAATCTCATTCCTATTTACTGTATCTTACTTTTTGTGTGGAAAAAACAAGATCTTGCATTTCATTTTGCCTTATCTTGCACATACATATATTAAATTGGAATAGACACTAAATGGACTGAAGCAGAGAGCATATCAGTTGATCTAAGTATGGTAATAATTTTATTTTTTTTAATTCACTGAAACATTTTTCTTGGCTATCTTGAATAACGAGTATATGAAACATAATGTTGAAAGTAGGTGTTTCTTTCACTCTAATGATGCATAATTTAATATCTCGTTTTGCCAGTTGTGGGTAGTGCGGTTACGAACTAAACCTGAACCCGTGCAACAGCAACATATCAGCCATTGATGCAAAATACGAAAAGTCGATGAAATGAGAAGTTATTTCATTCTTCTCAGTTGATGAGAGCAGGTTTACTCAAATAAACAAAATCCCTTGGTTGCCGATTTGACGATATCAAACAAGCCCTTATCATGGAGGATCTTTAAGAAACGAGCCACATTGCTATGTAGAAATTGTGGGAATTATATTGGAGTCGCTAGGAAAGTGGACAATAGTTCTCCTCGTTCGTCTCCATTCAAAGCTTGAGCACAATTCAACAAAGACTTGGGACGGGATTTCTGGGCGCAAGTCGTACGAGATCAAAATACATTCTTTGAGGCCCGTGTCATTTGATGGACCTGCATTTTTCATGTGATGATTGTAAGGTAGAAAAAGAATCTTCTTTTCTGTACTTTGTTCAAGTGTCATAAGAGTGTGTTCTAACAAAAATGATAAGGCATGAAGCCTTTGTCATGAGTAGTGTGTGCTGTCAAATATGAAAGGAATAAGGCCTGACATTGTAAAACTTTGGTCTATTCTTCCCATCATTTATAAAAATTGTTTTGTTTAGATGTAATTTTCTTATAGTGCATATGAGAAGACTTATATTGCATTTGCTTTTATCTGTTTAATACTGTCGTGATATGAAGTTCTGATTTGAAAAGGATGGCTTTGAAGTAGCTTTGTGTTTCATACTGTCGTGATATGAAGTTCTGATTTGAAAAAGATAGCTTTGAAGTAGCTCTGTGTAAGGACTGCCTATAGAATTATAGAAGAGACTGCATATAGAACTAGCCTTTGGTTCAAACCTAGAGCACGTGCCGCTCTTAAGCTCAACTCGGCAAGACTCGGTAAGGCACGAGCCCAAACAAGCCGAGCTCGAGCTTGAGCTCATTTAAATCTCGTTCAATTAACAAGCCAAGCCTATAAGGCTCGAAAATATAATTGTATATGTTTTTCTATAGTTCAATTTGATTTTGGATCGTTAAAGCTCGAATTAATAGTTAAGATTGATAAACGAGTCGAAGTCGAGCTCAAACTCGATTATAAGCTCGTTAAGGGCTTGAGTAGCATGAGCCCGAGCTCAACTCGGCTCATTTACACCCCTGTTCAAACCTAGCTTCACCAGTGCCATTTGAATGGAAGTTAAGAAAACCATCACCCAAGAGATACAACTGAAATAAACAGAAACAC